GATTCTATTTGGTATCCTCCCATATCGAATATTGCCTTTCCTACGTTGAGCAACGATGGATTTAGTCTTATGAGACCAAAGTAGTCGTTAAGAGCCTCCATCAAAAACCAGTTCTCACGAGAAGCCCTGAAATACGCGTTGAAAACAGCTTACAAGGACAAAAATCCCTCAGTAGTTTTACCTGGAGCAAATGAAAGTTGCCCATGCAATCTCAACATCGCTATTTCTAAGACCTATAGAATAAGATCGTGAGGCTCTTGAGATGACTGAAACCATCACCAAGTGATTCTAAAATAGAAGGACAATCAGAGATATTCCAACATCATTAAATACAACTGCCCCATCGCTGTCATCAATACTACCGTAAAGAAGCGACAACGGAGTACCTGTATAACTGTAACCAGCCGATCGAGTGTAGCGAAATCATGCTGAACATTTTTGCCTTTCTCGGCCACCATCTTGGTTATGACGTTGTTTACTCGAGACATAGAAAATTCCAAATCCTGGCACGCCATCTGCAATAATTGCAGCATTGATTGAGGGTCAGGTAGCATTGGCAATATTTTCGCCTTGAGACCGAAGACAAAGTCATTAAACCAATGTATGAACAGGCCTTGAAAACTAGTACCCTCATTCTAACCTTATATGGGAATAAAAGAACAAAAATATCTAAGGTTCTAAAATTACTTCTGTACTTTCAGACACTACACATAAAGAGGGTACTGCTATATTTTTGATGCCGAGATTCAGCATTGGTAGGTTCCACTAATGGAAACATTCGATAGCGAGCAACCCTACGCCAGATACGATTCCCGATCCACGACTGTGAATGGAGCTGACTGATAATCAGCCAGATCACCTAAACGCTAGGATTGCTTCGTGTGATTACTTGCTCCACTTAAACCTCCTCATGAACGGAGAAAAAATGGAGAAGAGGAAATAGTTGAAAGAATCACTCGACGAGTACCCTAAATGCAGGGCCGAGGATGAATTCGGTGCCTGAGAGTCCAATAAGAATGTGAAAAGGAAATATGTATCGAGAACACTTAAATCAAGGGCCTGGTACGGTAAGACTGCGGTGAGAATGACTCACTTGTCAGAGCGAGCGAAAACACGAGAGAGCACGCCGTACGAGGAGACACAGCAAGCGAATGTTGCGGCTGCCTTCAAACAACTACCGCCGAGCGCCACTAATCGGAAGCACTGATAAACCTACAGCGTTCTTGTCGCACTCTTTCGAGCTGTGTCAATGCCGCGTCGGTGACGTTTGCAGACAGCTTGATCCTACCTACCGAAGAAGTTACTCAAGTTGTCTATCCTAGACCTTGCCTTTAAGTCAAAGCCCCCCATCTTCCTAGGTAAAGGAATTGAAAACATGCCCAAGTTTTGGTATCGAGTAGTAGACTATTTGGAAAAGGCATGCGCTTAGGGAAGTCCCGGGGAGAGGTTTCCTAGCGACCTAAAAAAATGCGTAAGTCCTCGTTGGAGAGCATTCCACTCAAAGCTAGAGCCAGACGTCTTACATTGTCTTAGGGCAAATTTTCCCTACTCAAAACGTAGAACTTGATGAATAAATGAACAAAATTCCCTATATTGAGATTTTATAAATTATGTCTAAATAAATAAAACATCTGCGTTGCCTACTCACCTGTAGAGAAGGATGGGCATGTTCGGCTATGAAGTGCGTTAACTTCGGATTGTGCAGTTCATCTTCTAACTTCTCACTTCGAAATATTCGTTTCAAAACATTTGTGATTCTGAATGCAACAAAGATCAAGACATCATCTCCAACTCAATTCATTGCTTATCAAATTCCAAAATTCAAAGAATTCAAGTGTGTTGAACGTAGTTCGAACAATTTTTTTTCCAAAAATAAGAGAAAAATCAAATCCATTTTGGGCTCCAATTTCCACAAAAGCTTCAACCATGCACGAGTTTCCTTTTCGTCTAAACTCCTTTGAAAAATACAGATTTCGAATTGTATCTCATTACCCTCTGACCTCAACTATTCGGCAGTCAGCGACAACGTCACCCTAATTTTGTCACTAAATATTGGTTTTGATTAACTTAACTTCTAGTTTTAACCCTTTTTGCAGTTGAAAGTTTTTCTGTGCCAAACAGGTTTTTTATAGTGAAGCGTTTATTGCCGACGTTTCGACTAGCTCGTCGTCTTCAAGGCCTGAAGGAAGCATTTCGAAATTCTCAAATGAAACTTATCCTACTTAACGCTCACTCACTCCTAACTAGTAGCTCTAGCTAAAGGTGGTGGTGAATGCCCGAGTTGAATCCAACATTGGTCACTCGAGCTCGGAATTGCACCTGCTTTCTGCGAGTTGCTACTAGTTAGGAGTGAGTGAGCGTTAAGTAGGATAAGTTTCATTGAGAAATTTTCGAAATGCTTCCTTCAGGCCTTGAAGACGACGAGCTAGTCGAAACGTCGGCACAATAAACGCTTCACTATAAAAAACCTGTTTGGCACAGAAAAACTTTCAATTATCTGGACATGCCAAGGTTTCAAGAAAGGCGAACTTGGACCTTTTTGCAGTTTTCTCTTCTGCTATTTCTACTTTATTACTACATTTAGAGTAAACACTGCTTATATGTATGTGTATGTCAATGACTGAACAAGTAAATATAAAGTAAATATATGGGCCGGCAAAAAATGGACACCTCACTTCCCGCTAAAACTAATTCTTCAAACTAAGGCTTGAAGGGCACATTCCAATCTACCTACAGAAGGGGGGGGGGCAAAAAAGTCACTCCCATCCACATTCAAGGCAGAGTTAATTACACTTGCCATGAGCAGACAGAATTAGCCCTACTGCATATTGAAAGACACTTTCTACTCTATCAAGAAATTATGTAAGGGCTTCCTACACCGGGACATCAGAAGATTTTCTCACGGGAACATGGTGCATGGTGCGAGCTCATCGAAGTCGTCTAGATAGCAGTAGACATACTACGACACTCTAGGAATGGGGGGGGGGGGACGCTGTCAAAACCATCTTCATGCTAGAGCTAGGGTATCTAAGAAGCTATTCACTAGTTAATACGATTGAAGAAATTATGTAGCAGCTTCAGAATGGAGCGATTATGGTAGGCCTCCTTGAGCTCGAGCGGTGATGACAGATGACGTCATATTCTGGAGACGATGAAGGCAGTGAAGGTGGGCCTGATTTTGCTCATGAAGGGACATCTAAGGAATATTTTGCCGTAAAGATCCCAAAAACAGTGGCATCCTCTTGCAGCAAAAAGTTTGATGATATGCGCCTTCGCAAAGTGACTTTTTGCCATCCCCCTCTCCCTGTATAAAAGCCATTGTAGCCTTCTACACCCGACGATATCAAAATTTGATATGGGAACGTTGTGCCCGGTTCGAGCTCAACGTGGTTCTTTTGATACTGGGTGTAAACCAACGCCCTCGCCGAATCGTTGACTATTACGACGCTATCCAAAACGTTGGCTGGAGAGGGTCTAGCATATTCACAGCTACTGTCTCTGGAAAGCTATACATCAGTTTAGCGATTCAAGAAATTATGTAGCTGCTTCAGGCTGAAGCTTTTGTGGATGACCTCCTATAGCTCGACGGCGCTGGCAGATGAGGTCATATCTTGACGAAGAGGACGGTAGCGAAAAGATTGCGCTGTACATGGAGGGACGTTTTAGAATATCCTGCTTGGAGAAAGTTCCATCGACCACGGCAACATTATTTACTTAAACCGCTGAAATATGGCATGAGCAATCTGCCTCTTTGGCCACCCTTGTACGTTATATGATATTAACACTGCTCATCAATCTGAGGAAAGATTCACCTTTTGTGGGAAACCGAAGCCCACGATGACAATGCAGCAATCGCGACATTTTCAACGGTGGATTCTTCACGACTCTGGAAACGTCCAAAAAAAAATGTAAACTGACATGAAAAGTATGCCCTTCAATTATAAAGGACCTCATAGAGATCTCACACAGAAACAACATGCCCAAGATTTAAATCATACCACATACGTAAAAACAACAAGTCCGATAATTTGGGAGTGCACTAGGGACGCAGGTGCATACCCCCTGGAAACGAAAGCCAAGTGGCAGAAAAACCGATGTGTGACGTATCCTGAGAACGTTACACATCCTCACAGTAGCCAGCCATTAGGCTTCAACACAAAATAGCTAAAGCCCTTCAGGCTATGTTGACTTTACGATAATTGTTCGATGTCTGCTCATTTTCATAGCATCTCACCCAAACGGTCGCTATCTCCATAACCATGTTTGAACCCAAGAGCAAGAATGAGGACGTGAATTCATTGCATCCTTATTTTACATGTTTTCGTTTAATCTGCTGCAAGTTGGGCACTTCTCTTTCAAAACTGATCCCGCATCAAATATTGTAAGCGCTACCTCTTATGAATGAACACCACTGTTCTTTGCATGCTTCAATGGGAATAGAAGAAGATTTCGTTTTCAACTGTGAATGACTTGTCGGTAGAAAAAAAACTGACCAACGACAACAATGTAGTCACGTCGCGAATATCTTTCTCGAAATGGAACGCAGGGTCTATCGCTCGTAAGCCAGCCAGATCCACGCTTGTAAATACACTGCTCCGCAAAGTGTCACGAGTTAATTTCTGAAGCATTACAATCAGTAGATTAACCAACTGCCCTCCTCTGCGATCCATCTTCTCTTCTGCCTCTTGAAATGATCGATCGAGATCTCTAAGAAAAAACCACCAAAAATGAGCTCATTTTCAATACTTACATGAATTAAAGCATTCTCAATATCCAGCACAACTGGAATTCGCTCATCGAGGAGTCCGGCGAGGTAATAGGAAGCAGATTCGAGGACGTAGACCTGCACGATAAGTACATGCTCAAATACGAACGTAAAGCTTAAGCACGACCTAAGCATTGTACCTTAAGAGCAAATTCGGTGGTGCTATACTGTAAACCAGGCTCATCGGACAACAGAGCATTCTCCTGGAAAACTCGCAATCAAGATAGTGAAGATAAAGCAACGCCTAGCTAAAAATTCACCTTTCTTGCACTTGGAGTTTTGTTGCAGAAAGCTGCTAAATCGTTTAGAAGACGTTTACTATATCCAACAGTAGCTGCAGCTAGAGGTAAACAGTTACTGGAAACCAATTCCTCCCTAACCTGAAAGTTACACGAGCTTTCAGTTAATGCTTCGAATGACCTGAATACGCTCTCAAAGGCTCCACCAGGTTTCAACGATTTTACGGCATTAATGAAGCTGATTAGTGATCAAAAATAGTCAAATAGGAAACACTTCATGACTACGAACTGGTTAATCTCCGATTGCATGGCTCTTTAGAAACGTATCTACAGTCCATGCTACTCGTTTCATATAAGTTTTCCACTCGCGGGCAATCCTCTGCCTATCTTGGAGGAGTTCTGGCCAGTGCCTGACTTTATCTCCGAATGATGCAAACGTGCAACCAACACGCAGGAAAAAACGGCTGCTTAGCCATCCAATTTCAGCGTTAATTATCAATAGTCGAAAACGTCCAGTTACCTCGACTCCTTGTCCGATTTCACCTACTAGGTGTTCCTCAGTCAGAGAAGCAGAAATCGTCAATGATCCAACTGCAAACATGTTATGCATCAGTTTGGAAGTGTAGTTTGGTTACAAACTTGTAATCTCACACGGTGCACAGATCATTATAGCACTCACTATCACAGGCTTTCAATCCAGTTGTTTCATCGCGTTTGAACTCCCACTGGTCGGTATCCTTGAGCTCAGAGCGATCAATTAAGTAACAGGAATAATATTTCTCTTTCTGAAAAATTCACTAAAAATCAAGAAAAAGATCGCAGTGGAAGGATAAAAGCATAAAGCATCGGAGATGTGTTAGGGATGAGCAACGCATTCTATTGAATCTCCACTCTCTCCACTAATGAGGACTTCAAATTGGGCTTGCCGAATACAATCTCTGGGTCCAGTACAAGTCCAGTCGATGTACAACACAAGCTAATGATTTCTCCTTCCCAACGAGCTTGATAACAGTCGACTGACCCCGGAAAGACAGAAATCATGGTTGACCCAGGCCAACTAGGCCAAATTCGAGCAAAGTTTGACTTCCGGATTGTACGTGTCGCGGCTTGAGCTGGACGACCGTGTAGTGTGAATTATAGCCAACAGGTCACGACCCACCTACGCTTGCACTAGTTCGTACAAGCACAGCAACGTTAACAGATAAACCTCAATTCAAAGTTATACAGATCAAATTTAAAAAGCCATGGTTCTTACAAGGAGAGGCTCCCAGGTCGCCATGGCCATTCAGGAAGAGATGTATACAGTCGATATCTCGAAGTCAGATTAGGCGTGTCTATGGTTTGACGTGGCGGCCGCCGCACTTGATGGAAGTTGCGCGGATAAGCTGCTTCCAGCATGCTTGCTGATATCCAACGGAGTATTTAGAAACAGCTTATCCTCACGGCTTCTATCAAGTGCGGCAAAGGCCACGTCAAATCCATAGCCACGCCTAATCTGACTTCGAGATTTCGACTGTACCACTAGATGTGCCTCTGAACGTTGATCTCAAATCTACCTTCCAAATCTGCTAAACGATTCTCTGAAGAGAGTTATGAAGCAAAACAGCGCAACGGCAGTGGTCGGGATTTGCAGTCAAAACGTCGTAGGATCGGCCCCTGATCGCGTCTACTGTTTTGCCTTCTTCAGGAGTACAGCTAAAAGGCTTTTAATAGCCTATTTAGCCTAATTCCTGAAGAACGCAAGACAGTAAACGCGATCAGGGGCCGATCCTACGACGTTTTGACTGCAAATCCCGACCACTGCCGTTGCGCTGTTTTGCTTCATAACTCCTTCAGAGAATCGTTTAGCAGATTTGGAAGGTAGATTTGAGATCAGCGTTCAAAGGCACATCTAGTGTATACATCTCTTCTTGAATGGCCATGGCGACCTGAGAGCCTCTCCTTCTTAGTAAAGCCACGTCTTAATCGCTGTAGTGCTCATTACTTGGGTTACGGTTTCATTGAAGTAAATGACAGAATGCTAGGCTCCCAGCAATCTTTGATAGAAATTGTGATCGCTGCATTAAGGAATCGTATAATTTTAGCGACTGTTGTGCTTAAGCTACTGCAACTTTATAACCAAAAGGGCACCATTTCACGGAGGTCATCATCGACGTCAAGATGAAGGGGGTTCGACAGGGCGACACCATCTCGCCCAAACTCTTCAGCGCCGCTCTCGAGAACGTCATGCGTCAACTGGAATGGGAAGACATGGGAGTGAAGGTCGACGGCCGGCAACTACACCACCTTCGTTTTGCTGACGACATCGTTCATAAAAAACGAGCAAGCAAGCAGAATGCTGGTTGATGTGGTAAGGTCGGTCTGCAGCTGAACCTAACGAAGACGATGTTTATGAGAAACGGATTGGTTCCTGATGCCCCATTCACGCTCAACGGAACGAACATCACCGAATGCTCCAGTACGTACCTAGGTCGGGAAATCAATCTAGCTCCAGAGCTGAGCAGGAGGAAACGAGCGGCTTGGGGAGCGTATAAGAACATCGAGGGAGTAGTGAAAGACGAAGAACATCCGGCTCCGTGCCCACCTCTTCGATTCCGCTGTCCTTCCTGCCCTAACCTACGCCTCAGAGACTTGGACTCTGCGCAGGCAGGACGAGCATGCGGTCAGCGTTATCCAACGCGCTGTCGAGAGGACGATGCTAGGAGTAACCCTATACACGCAAGTGCAGAGGGGAATCCGGAGTGCCGAACTACGCCAACGATCGAAGATCAGGGACGCTGCCGTTTTCGCCAAGGAATCGAAGATAAGGTGGGCCGGACATATCATGCGATGACCGTTGGACCAGAGCGGTTACCGACTGGATCCCTCGGGACGTCAAACGAACACCTGGACGAGGGCCGGCCCAATAGACAGACTTCATTACGGAAACCAATGGGAGGTGCGTACCCTCCCCCCTTCTCCACCCCACCAGTGAAGAGGATCTAGTGGTCCCTCTTGCATGCGACAGAGACGAATGGGAGACGTTGTTGCCATAACAATGATCAATAGGTGATACAGACGATTGCACTTAAGATAATGGGTTGGAGAGCAAATCCTGCAACATAATTAGCTATTCTTGATTCTACCAATCATCACCTATTCTTGTTTCATATATTTCTTCCACTTTCCTCAGTCAACTGCATATCCAACATCAGTGTATGCCAACCAATTGCTGCCAACGCTCAAACACTTCTCAATGCTCCTTCTCCAGAAGTTGGTCGACTGCGAATTGGCAGGAAGAGTAAGTGTTACGGTGTTTACCATGAATCACAGGTCGGCTTCTGGTATTATGTATAGCGGTTGTCCGTCACAATGGTGCTCATGACGTGCGACCCGTCGTCGAGTACCTCTGACAATTGCAACAACAACATAGTCCAAAGCGCGCACGACGCTCGAATGAAATGTAGTCAGATTGGAAGCTTCGGTAACGGAAGAACACGGTAGAACGGTAAGTAACGCTCCGAATGAAAGTGTTGCAGATGCTGTTGATCGCTGTCGTGGAGTCATGGAATTTAAGAGATTGGAGTAGACAATACTTGAAGTACAGAATTCTGACATCAGGGCTTCGTGGGTTTTCATGAATGAGAGCTGGTTTCGCATTCATATCTACATAATCACCACAGTGTACGGACCTTCAATTCTTCTAGATAACACCTTGTTGCGCAACACATATTCTTGAGATTTTTACAAAACAAAGAATACGACAATGAGAAAATATTTAACGAATATAGATGGCACAAAGCCGTAAACGAAAGAAAAAACAAAGCGAAGGAAAATTCAAGAATTCATAAACCACTCACGGATTGATGGTGCACCGAAGTAGCAAACACAACTGCTAAATTAGCATTATGCATCCCCATACAACGCGTGTTTTCGAGCCTAATCAAGGACTGAGTACGCGATCCACCGACCACTTCAGCACGTGATGAGCTATAATCGGAATAGAACTCGAGAAAAAAAATAGGAGTAGATGAAAGCGCAAAATTTTGCAACCACATAACAACCATAACGAAGTCCAAAGTAGCCAGAGATTTCCCAGCACATTTCAAAATAAAGCGATAAGGCAGTTGCAAAGATGCTCTTCCGTTTGGACAGATTGTTTACAAACGTTCAAAAGGAGTCATATGAGCAGCATTCCTGACGCTAACACTGATTTCAAATTTGAAGGCCACCCGCGACGTGTTGACGTGTACCAATCCTTTGCAAGTTAGGTAAAGTTGTTTTTGTTCTTTTCTTCCGAATTGAAGGTGCGTGACAAAAGCGCATGAGCTCACCCATCCCCCCCTCCTTCCCTCCGAATCCATTTTTGTTTTTCTCGCTGGCAACAAGCGAGTGTCTGCGCCCTCCCCTATGATGTTTCTCCCATCTAGCCCCTCTCCTCTGCTCAGTGTCTCTGCCTTAACAAGTCGCATTGTAAAGCCAATAAGTCCTTTGTAGCGTTTCCGACACTCCTTCGCATTTTCAGTACCGCTCCACCTCGCACCTCTACTATGTCCGTGTGCACTGGTCAAACCATTTTGATCCCTTTTGTGCCTTTCAGATATCTAAGTGTATAACGGATCGCTAGAGCAATGAGGCGGCCAACTACGTCAATACTATAATAGAAGCTGGACCTGCGCCATACGAGTGGGTGCCACGCTGTAACCCTCACAAGAATTGTCTCGGTGCCTCATAGGCGGTACAGATACTCTGCTCATAAAACTGCACACCAGATTACGTGAAATCTTCGCAATGAAGTTGCAACCTTTCAGATCATAGAGAGCGTACCTTGAATTATCGACAAAAGCGACAACAGGACGGCATTTCCCACTGCTAATGAGAGGAAAATATTTCTCCTTCAACTTGTCTGATCCGTACAATAATAACGTAGTTGTCAGAGCATTCACGGCCACTACATTTGCGTAAATATTCCAATCAAGACTCAGATCCTGGAACCATGCATATTGCGAAAATGCAACAACTATGAAGTACGCTCTAACCTCAAATATCTTCACTTGGTCTTTATATCCCAGACCGAGACCGCCGTATTCCGAAGGTATTAGTGCCGCGAAAACTGCGCTGTCGTTCAGCGCTCCCTTGACTGCATCAGTTAAGCAGCCCTGTTTTTCCAGCTCACCATGATCAACTAAAAGAAATACTGAGTTACGGAAGATCTGATCATGTGAAACTATTTTAGGAAAAAGCGAGCTACTACGACGTTCCTATGCTAACCTGTCAAACTTAGCGTCTTCTTCAAAACTTCGGTGAAACCTTGAATGGCTTTCACGTCGTCAGTGTCCGTATACTCAGGATATATCATAAAGTCCTGTAAGATCGAAGGGTATCGTGAAAGGTCAGATGTCGGTCAGACTCTGCGATTGCATCGCGCGATGCAGTCGCTCTTGCAATGTGCACAAGCGACGGGCGATTGGCCCCGCCCACATCGATGCAGTCGACATCGGTATCGATCGCGGCGGGCCATTGCCCGCCGCTTGCACTTGGCAGAGCGACTGCATCGGACGATGCAATCGCAGAGCCTGACCGACATCTCAAAGAAAATGACATACAGCAGAAAATTTCCTGCAATTGGCGTAATATAGAAAAAAAGAACAAACCAAAACACTGTACCATAGAAATAAATACCTTTTCGAACTTGTTCATTACAAGACCTCTTGAGAGCGACGTTTTCTCTATGGGAGTGTCCGATGCAGTCACCTCCTTGATTTGGAATTTACTCACACTGGGGACCGTAGCTTCATTTTTACTACAAAGCTGTGATGCACATTTCGAAAGTGACCTCCTTCTTATCCAATTTAGGAGGACCGGCCTCATCTGGAAACAAAGTATTCGACGTAGCCTAGGGAATCTTCTCGATATAAAAAACAAATGGTGCTAACTTAGTAGGGGGGGGGGGGCGGCGCGGCGCTCTGTTCGTCTGCTCCCCTAAGGCAAAGTGCAAAGGACAGTTACTATTTCGCCACATGGGGCGGTATTCAATCCTTCCCCTAGGGGTTGGGGGACGAAAAACCCTTTAAATTTTCTCTGTCTTCCCAACTGGGATTGTCCTGATAAAGGGCCTAGGTTTAATGTATGTATGTATGTCACAGTAAGCATGCATTGAAAATGAAGAAACTACATCGTTAAAAACAAATAAATTTAAAGGGATTTCCGTCCCCCAACCCCTGGGGGAAGGATTGAATACCGCCCCTGGTGACAGTTTTGAAACGCGCTCGGCTTACCAAGGCTGGCGCCAGAGTCCGTCGCAGGTTTCGCTGATTTTCTTGATTTGACCGATTTTAGCGATTCTCGCGATTTGCGCGATAAGTGCGACGGATCGAGTGGAAAGTTCTTGCGAATCCTGTTGCGAATTCTGCTTGACAGTGAAGGATTGAAAGACGACTGTTCGTGATTCTGCCTTATAACGTGAAAAAGTGAGGGGGGGGGGTTGGTCGGGACACTTTCAACTTCGTGATCCTTCGCAGCTCACACAGAGCCATGAAACAAGTGGATTAATGAGCAGTCGTCATTAAGCCACCACTATCAAGCAGAAGTGACGGCAGGATTGGAGAACATCTTGCAGCATTGATCGGGAACTTGTGATTTCGTAATCGTCGACGTGTAATCGCGAAAATCGCGCATAAATCACCAAAAACGCGTTCTTATCGCAGAAAAGTCCGCGAACAGCCCCGAAAGTGACGGAATCGCGCAACTCTGACACCAGCTCTAGGCGCTCGAGAGCAGACGAACAGAGCGCCGCGCCTCCGCGTGGTCACCCCCCCCCCCAAATAAGTTAGCACCAAACAAAGCTTCCCAGACTAACAAAGGCATCAAAACTTCCTTGAATGACGTGCTCTAAACACCGTTCTCGCAAGCACAACCATCCCATTTCAACCATACAGCAATACTCGTAAGCAGTGACGACTTACTTTGTTCCGACAGATCCTACTTGATGGCACTATCACCGGAATGGTTTGTTGGAATGAAGGAAGCCAGACCGTCGCCACTACAGAAATGTTGTCGTGGTCAAGCTGAACTGAAACCCACATAGCTATTATTGAAGACATTAGTTCGGAAAGACAATTAACCAATGCAGTCTCTCCAAACATAAAGCGTTCTAGCCAATTCGGCTCGGAAAAGGTGGTACATTGCATCGGGGTTACGGAAACACTCAGTTTCTAGACCCTATAGGAGATGAATCGGAGTTCGCCGCTCTCTGTAGGCCTAATCCTCGGGGCTTCCTACAGACTACAAGGACCTCCCCCGACGTATATTGCGCTTGCGTTGTGTCTTTGGAGCTAGAAGTCACTTTCACTTGCCCCATTCTACATTAGACTAAAATACTCTCTACGGCTCAGTAAACCCAATGCGTTAGCCCAGTACCAGTTAACTGCATCTATCACTCAACGCAGGCGAATAATAACAGCATCTCATACGCAAAAATATAAATAAACTAATCGCAAGGAAGCTTATTAGCGTGAACTCGTTTCCCGTCAAATTTGAAGTGTTCTGTAATGAGTCGACGAGATTTTGCGGACTACATGTGCGTGCGCCGCCTGCGACGGTTTGTGGTCGCACAGCGGCATGTGCTCTGCACGGAACTAGAATCGAGCGTCGACGACATGCGATAAGCGTGATCATATTCATCGTTTTTGTTTTTTTCCCTCTTTAGTTCCTCCTTTCCAGTTTGTACGTAGCCGCTTTAATATCCAGTTCCTAGCGGGATCTAGCCTCTTGTATTCATTATATGTTTTTCTTTGCATTTCCTTCCATTTCACGTTCGTATCAGAAAAGTAATTCGTTTCTGTTAGCGTCAACAGAGCTACTCAGCTTTGTTTAAGGTGTGAGAGTCTCGCATACATACGAGTTATTTGATCTTTGGGGTGGACTGCTCCTTCGACCTTGTTGCTGAAGAAAAGTCAGGCCGCGGTCATAAAGCGCACGCATAGTCGGTCGGACGACAGCAACGATCGTAACTGTCGCACAGCATTGGATGCGTATCGATCGTCGGACTTGCCTGAGTATTCGACGATTAGATGCAGTTAGACAGTCAGACAGTTGCGATCGTTGCTGTCGGACGACCGACTATGCGTGCGCCCATACTCAGCGTTCTGGAAGATTGTGAGATCGGTAATGAACAGTTTATGTATCGATTGGGAATACGAGTTCACGGAATTGACTGGAAAGTTAGATGCATATTGAATGATTCATGCAAAGACTCCTAATCCATTCATTTTCTGTTCTCTCATTGTCAGTCGTTACGTATTTAATCTTTTAGCTGAGTTTACTAATCTCCTAATCCCTCAAAACGTTGAGTGAACGTAGCCCTCTTACTTGTCTATTCATCTAGCCCTTCTTGGTGACGGCTTTGCAGGAATTTGATGTTATCATGGTTTCCCTTGAGTGAACTCAGTGTTCAGTATTCACCATAGCATGTGACCAACGAACGTAGCAGATTCCACATTGTCGTCGCGAATACCGAACGAATTAATGGTCGTCATTTTAGTGCCTTTACAGATTCAACGTTCACATTTTTTCAGATACCACGGACATTAGTACTTTTCAAATCGGTTGCACAAACAGGAACACCTTCAGTCATGTTATGGTAAGCGAGTTATGTTGTTGTTTGAAAATGGCGTAACCTTTGAGGTTCCTTCACCTACACTGAAAATGTTGGCTGGGTTTATTTATTTATCGAGAAATATGGGATTTCATCTGTCCTCCTTGACATTTGATTTTATTACATGGAGTTTTGGAATATCCAATATCCCATCTTCTAAGCTTTGTACCCTTGTAGATTAAAACGTGTAGGGGGCCAGACGACTTCCAAAGCTCGATGCAGTACTGGCCGTGCTGATCGGGGCAGATTCAAGTGATGTTCTTATACTTCAGTTATATGGGCAGAGTAGGAGTCATTTACAATCTATAGGCAAAAGCCCATTCCATTTGAACTTGACAATATTGCTTCGGGGTAAAGTAGTAATGGAGGATATTATTTGTGCTTTTTTTCGAACTGTTGCTTTTGCCGTCAGGCCGGTGATGCGAATGATGCGGTATAAGCATAAGTCATTGCCTTTCGGTGATAGACTCATTTAGAAGGGCAAAATCCTGATTTATTTTCACGTGTGTAACTCTCACAAAACGTTTTACATTCTGAATCGTACTGAAAAGGCATCGCCATCTGATTGCAGTTAGAATGCGTGGCGCTTTCCCAGAAAGAGAAGTGCTGATGTGCTCTTCCTTTTTACCTCTTTTTGGCTATTTATAACAATTACAAAATGTTCTCTCAATTTCAGTTCCATAGTCTTCGTTCAAAAGGATTCCGAAACATGTTCCCCTTGGTAGAATCAGAGGCTTGGTTCTCAATGAGTTGATGAATCTGTACGGGGAGGCATCTATAGCATTTTGGCATGAATACGCCCATTTCCTCCGTATTGTTGAGCTTTTCGACGCTTTCCTCTCAATTTAAAAAAACCTTTTATTGCAGTTCGCGCTTCCATCATCCACACTTACATTCTCCTTCGAACTAGTTCAACAGCCCTCCTAGATAGTGAACAACGATTTTATTGAGCAGCACTAATCTTTTGGTGATAACCCTGTGGTTTTGTATTCATTGCTTATTCACATCGATGCATTTGTGGATTCAGCTTTTCAGATCCCCGAAATTTAGTAATCATATTTATAATTTGTAGAGTGGATCCGTCCTTGTTGGGAAAGTGTGATAAGCGTATACGCCACTTCTTATCGATGATTTTTAAGCTTTTGCGTTGTTTCGCTTGTATGCATATTCAGTGGGTCGTGAACAAATCACATTCTTTGCACTGCGATTGTTTTCGCCCTCACCGTTATCAAAGTCCTTGTAGATTCTCTCTACACATTTGTGCGTGGTCATATCCAGGTGACATACATATCCAATCAGTTATATTTTTATGATGTATCTCTGTAGGTTACAGACAGAATCAGGAAGGCGATATACACTTTCAGATCCTTTATGCGAGAACCAGTTCGTAGCTTCGTAGAAACAATGGAGCAATGGCGCCAATCACTTCTGGCAATAAAGCAGAAATCGCCAGAACAGGTGTGTGACAGCGAGTTTTGAAGTGGTTATCGACGATTTTCTTGCTAATTTTCAGTTCTTCAGAACAAGCTTTACTTTATTTATTGGGCCTTTCCATAATTACGGTTTAATGTATTTATTTGATCAGAATTTCTTGTTAAGCTGCTTCAAGTAACGATTATAATAGGAACAGTACTACCACTGGTTAAAATATGCAGAGAAAACCTTGGAGCCAAAGCGCATGTGTAGCTTCTTTGATCTAGACATAAAACAAGTTTTATGCAGTTGCGCAGAAAGCATCACATGTGGCGAGCACAGAATCTTAACAAGCTAAATTGACGGGTTTATGAAGCCTTTACATCAAAAAGTGGGGTTGAGTTCAATGCGATCGAATATTTGGTCGTGTAAGGTGGAAATCTCTTTCTGTTCTGAGGCAAAATGTTGCCAGTGGTGGTTAACTTCTAGGTGATAATTCACTTGACTAAACTTCCTCTCGACACTGAATACATGTCTGTAAATCTATCATCTTTTGGGAGGAAGTTGAAGGTTGTCTAAGTTGGGAAATAAATTTTTCCTCTCACGCTTGATTATTACCGTATGAATCGGA